TTTTTTTTTTTCTGTTTTCCTCAACCCATTGCAAACTGCATGGAGGGGAGCTTGGTTTTGTTTATTGCTGTATACCTAGCCCCCGGACAGTGCCTGCGGTAGGCAAATGAATGAAAGAATCCACTATTGCCAGTCACGTAGCCTCCCCTCCCCACCCCAGGTGACTGTTTCCTATCTTATGTAGCTCTTTCTTTATCTCCTCCCCTTCTCTGTTTCTACTGCCGTTTCCCACGTCAAGACTCTGGTTTTGAATATCCTTGAAGTATCTTTACTACAAGAGCCCAGTGTTATTAATATCTTCCCTCCCCTTCCTCCAGAATATAAAACTTTCACTCCTGCGGCCCACAAGGCTGTCTCAGCCCCTGCCCATCCCCCCAGCCTCATGCCCTCACTACCCTGTTTCCCTGAAAATAAGACAGTGTCTTATGTTAATTTTTGCTCCCAAAGATGTGTTAGGTCTTATTTTCAGGGGATGTCTTATTTTTCCATGAAGAAGAATACGGTACACATGTATTGTTAAATGAAAATAAAGGAAATTTATTACCTATATACGGTTCGGTACTATGATAGTTGTCAACACAAACCAGACAAACTGAATCCTACAGTATCAAGAATTTACTCATTTACTCAATGACAATCATGTCATCATCTTCTGGAACACCATCATAACAATCCAATTCCTGAAATTCCTGGTGAATTTCTTGTGACTCCATTTCTTTCAGAATCAGTGGACCACATCTCTCATGTTTAGCCTGGGGGAGGCCTTATTTTTTGGGGATGCCTTATATTTCACTCAGAAGGAAACCTGTAAGTAGGTCTTATTTTCGGGGAAACACGGTAGTCATCTGTCAGGGTTCCTGAGTGCAGGCAACCAAGGATATCATTGTCTACCTCGAGCAGGACGGCTTTCCTGGAAGGAAGTGGGGGTGTGGGGACAGACTGGGGGACAGAAAGGGATAAGAACAGGGAGCATCATGGATGCATTCCCCCCCCCCCCCCCAAAAGCAGGAAGAGTTGGTCCGGTCTCCCCTTCTGTGGCAGAGCCCCGGATTGGGTGGGCATCACTCAACTGCTTTCATCTTGGCCAAGCTCACTCCCTGTGAGGCACCGTGTGTGTGTGTGTGTGTGTGTGTGTGTGTGTGTGTGTGTGTGTGTGGTAGTCCATGCTTCAGTACAGTGTTGTAAGATGGCCTCTGTGCTAGTTACTGGTTTATTGCTATCAGCTCCAAATCCACCCCTTTTGCCCGGCTTTGACATTCCCAGCCGGGCCCAGAGAACGTGCCTCCTGTGCCAGCTGCTGCAGCAGCAGGCTTTGCGGCGCTGGAGGTGCACGTGAGGCCCGGGGTGGGGCTCCGTTGTGTCACTTCCTTTTTTTGGGGTGTTCACTGCTTGGGAGGTCTGGTGCACCCCGCCCCTGCGAGTTGTCCTGGCACTCGGCAGAAAGCGTTTTGTGAAGCAGCTTCTGCAACCTGGAGGCCACAGCCTGTGCAGCAGCTCTGGGCCCAGAACCTCCCCACAGCCAGGGCTGCAGTCACATCTGCCCCGTCAGGTCTGTGTTCCCTTCCTGGGCACATTCTAAAGACAGGGAGAGGAGGGAGAACACTGTCCTTACATTTGCTGTTCTTGGGTTTCCAGATTTCTCTTTCAGGTCCCTTTTAGTGTTAGCTTGCTAGACTTTGTTACACTTTCCCTGATGGAATTACTGATGTGGTTTCTGGGTCCTCACTGGCCCCTGACTCATAACACCTTTTTAGTTTCTGTCCCTGCAAGCAGGGCATGGCTGCCCCCCCCCCCCCCCCCCCCCCACACACACACACTCAGAAGAGTGTTCTCCCCATAAAGGAAGGGGCTGGGAGTTGTGCAGCCAGAAGAAGATACTCTCCGGTGTGGCTCCCTCTCCGGTGCCTTTTGTCTGTCCTGGGTGCTCACTCTGTCTCTGCCGGGATGCGTGCCGCCCCTAGGGACTCCCAGCCCACCTCACCCCCCTCCTGATCCTTCAGCCCTGGCTCAGGCTTCCTGCCAGCCCTCCCGCCTCCCCCAGGGGACGCCTTTGCTTCCTCTGTGCTCCTTCACAAAGCAACACTTGCATCCTTTTGCTGTTGCTGTGTCTCTGATCCCCGAGGCAGACAACCTGTTCTCTTTGGACCATCAGCACATGGTAGGCGCCCAGTGCATACTTACTACTTGGTGTAATTGTTACTGAATTAATCAGTAATTTCTGTAGGTACTGGACGAGCCTCCGTGTGCCTTGGGGCATTCAACTGCTGTGTCACTGAACAGTTAGTATTGATAAACAGCCCAACTGAGTTCATTTTTGTAGGGGAAGCACCGTTTCCTGCCAAGTCCCTGAAGATAAAATGATAATGAGCAAGAAGCCTTGTCCCCTCAGGAAGTGCAGGGCCTGAGCAGGGCTGGGGTGTGAGGCAAACATGGCGTTAGGCTTGAACGGTGTCCCCCCAATTCATAAGTTGAAGTCCTGATGCCACAGACCTTATTTGGAGAAAGGGCTATTGCAGATGTAATTACTAGTGAATTGAGGCACACTGGAGCAGACTGAGATGGGGGGAGAGAGGGGGCGTGGGCTGTGGAGGGGGGTGGAGTCCGGACTGGAGTAGGCTGGGCCCTGACCCATTATGAGTGGTGTTCATGTAGAAAGGGAAAGTTTGACCCAGACACACAGGGAGAGCTCCATGTGAAGACTGGAGTGATGCTGCCACAAGCTCCAGCTCCACACCCTCCCAGCACCTGCTCAGCAAAGCCCTGCGCGTCCAGCTTCCCGAGCTGAGAGCATCTGTCTCCGTGGCTCCAGCAGTCCCAGCAGACGGACAGGGGTGGGATCGGGCTTTTCCAGGCCTGGCCGCTGGCTGGCTGCTGTCAGTATCTACTGCCCAGCCTGTGAGGTGATTCCTGATGGAAACGATCCTGAGTTCGGTATTCTGCCCAGGCTTTGACACCCTGGCACAGAGCAGCCGTTACAGGAGCAGCTGGAAATCTGCCATCTATTCAATGTTGGCCGCCCTGGCCGGTTTGGCTCAGTGGATGGAGCGTACACCTGCAGACTGAAGGGTCCCGGTTCAATTCCGGTCAAGGGCACATGCCTGGGCTGCGGGCTCCATCCCCAGTCAGGGATGTACAGGAGGCAGCCGATTCATGATTCTCATCATTGATGTTTCTCTCTCTCTCTCCCTCTCCCTTCCTCTCTGAAATCAATAAAAATATGTTCTTTTAAAAATGTTGTCAACAACATAGTTTAAAATGGGACTGACGAGACAAAATGCCTCTGCAAGGCCACCTGTTGACAGCTTCTGTGCTAGTGGAAGCCTGTGCTCAGGTTTGGTGAGAGGAGGAAGACCAGGGAAAAGGAACTGGCTGACAACAGTAAGAGCTGCATCTGTGAGCACCTCGCCCAGTGCTTTACCGATGCCATCTCCCTTCGCTTCACTGTACTTCCTGCAACAGGTGCAGAATGGAGGCTAGCAGGGCTCACTGCCTTGCCCAGGGCCCCACAGCTGTCAAACGGTGCTGCCCAGACGGCCATCCAGGCCTGTCTGACTCCAGGGCACACCCACCCTCAGGTCCGAGGCCTTCAGTCCCAGGAGAAACATCTGGAGACCCGGCTGCAAGCCTGGAAGGACTTGCTCGTTGCCAAGTGCGACGCAGGAGCTTAGTCTCTAGTGCCCGTGAGGAGAGGGGCTTCTCCGCCTGAACGGAGGTGCCCAATCAACCAGGGGCACGGGCACGTGGGGGTGGCCTGCAAAGCTACACCTCTACAGCGGCTTCCATGCCACGTATGGTAGTCACTGTAGCTTGTAGTCACCAGCAAGTGTGAGGCAAACAGTGGAAGCGACTGTAACGAATGCCCTGCTGGCCTCAGCACCCTCGTCCAGCCCAGCTGTGCAGCTTCGCGCCTGTGTGCAGGCGAGAGGTGGAGGCAGGCCGTGTGAGAGCAGGAGAGCAGGCATCCAGGCTCAGGGCAGGGAAGGGCTAATTGCCAGAAGGGGTTCCTGTCTTGGTTTAGGCTGCAGTTGAGATCACCCTGGGAAACGTGCTGTGTCCCGGGGATTTAAAAGGCACACAGCCCAGCTCCTGAGCCCCCTGTTCTAGAAGCTCCTACCCCTCCCCATGCTCAGGCATCAACTAGGAAGCATGTTTATGAGACATAACCCACCCTCCCTTAGCGCCCTGGATTGCACCAGATCAGCCAGCCATGGGGGCGTTTTGCGAGAGATCAGGAAACAAAGTCACGTGAACTGAGATGCATAGAGAATGTGCCTTCAGAACCAGCTGCCTTCCATGCCCCTGTCCTTTCTGAGACCCATTGTGTCTCCCATGCAGATCATCCACCTCCCGTTTTGCTTTATCTACTCCAGCTGGCAGCTATTACCAGTGACCAGAAGGGTCCCAGCTACTGGAGGTGGTTAGTGTGGGTCCTTTCGGGCTTAGTTGGCTCCTGGTTTGGGGACCTGCTGCAGGATGGTGTGGTTTGCTGTCTGGGTTTCCCTCTGCCCCACTGGGGCTGGGAAAGGGGGTGTTTGAGATGAGGTCAGGGTTAGTGAGAGCTACTATTTCTAGACCCGTTTCATATACGAGGAAATGGAGGCGTAAAGCTACTTGCCACACAGCCAACCCTTGGCAGAGCTAGACTTTGAGACGGTCTGTGTCCTGAGTCCACCCAGGTACATAGCAAGGTTGCAAGTGAGCAGTGGAGCAAGCAGGACAGGTATGGCCCTACCCGGCCCCTGAGACAGCCTGCCTCTACGCTGTCGGGTCAGGGCCAGCTCCAGAGCCTTTTCTGTCCCCCGCCACGGAGTCTGTCAGAACCCCAAAGACTTTTCTTGTCAAACCAAGCTACTGTGACAGGCCCCACATCACAAAACAACTCTCAAGAGACAAAAATAAGACTTGGGGGTTTTCCTTGGTGCTCCTGACTGTGGCCTTCCAGAGCCGGTCAGCAGGTGCTGGGAGGCCCGGGACAGCGGGGCGACTGCGCTCGCCTGGACCTAAAACCATCTCCTCCTCCTCCTGTAGGCCAGCAGGAAGCTCGTGGAGCTCTCTATGAAGGTTTCCAAATCACAGATGGTCAGGAAATTCAGGATCCTACTCATTTTCCCCAGAAGGACCTGAATCTTCCGAGCCGTTGAATCAAATTCCACCTCCAGGATTGCTTTCATCTTCATTTCACTCAGCTTATCCGGGTTGATGAACTGTGGGAATTCACGGAAGGCTAGGTGAGGGTACATGCTGTCCCCCCACCCCCCATCAGACCCCTGAGGCCAGGATGGAGTCTTACCTGGAAAGGCCACTCTCCAGGGCAAATCTCTGCTCCCAGCCCAGCCACCAGCACCCTTTCTGCTGCTTCCCAAGGACACGCGCTGGGCCGGTACCCGTGGCCACCCCCAGCCTGAACCCAAGCCAAAGAGTGCCAGCTCCTGAGACCTGGTGTGGACTGCCACCCAAAGGCAGTGTCCCCTGGGGGCACCCGCTCTTCCCCATGGGTCCCCGACCCCGGAGGCGCTGCCACAGCTGGGAGACTGTCCGGTGTCTGCCGAGAGCCGCACTCCCGCTGAGGGCTCGCTGGAGCGTGTCTGGGTTTTGCTGGGACGAGGTCCTGCCCCGTGAGGCCACCTCTACTCCAATTCTGCCTTGGTTTTAGCTACGGAAGGCCGAGCAAAGGGTCTCCCAGAGGAATGCTTAAGAATACCAATATGTTCTATTTCTATGAAGTATCCCACTTATGAAATGTTTTCACACAAAGCGTCTTATGGAAGCCATACGACACTGTCATTTTATAAACACCAAAGTCTCAGATAGAGCAAGAGGCTGCCTGTGTCACATGGGACATGGAGGAGCTGGCGTGTTCTCAGAACTCCCTGCTGCCTGGCCTGGGAGGACCCCACCGACGAGTCACATCTGTGCTGATTCAGTTCCTTTGGGGTTACCCCCCTCCGCTGGCACAGGACTCTGACCATGTCAGCCACTCACCTGCCCTTGGGGCATTGGTTTCCTTTGCTGACCCCCAACCCTCCTCAGTGGCACCCAGGTCCTCGTGCCTCTCCATTCTAGCTGCCCCCTCTTAGCGCATCTCCATTGTGCAGGGCAAATGGGACACTCGAAGAGACCTAAGTATGCATCATCTCTTTACTGAGGTGGCTGTCTGGGAGGCCCAGGCAGGTGAGAAGGTTGGGACTTCATTCTTTAGCTTGTAAACCAGCCGCCTTCCTGGGCAAAGGGTCCGGGATGGCCAGCTGTCTGGATCTGCGTGCACTGTCCCAGTTTTAGCTCTCCGAGTCTCCTGTCCCGGAAAACGCCCCCAACCTGGGCAAACTGGGGCAGCTGGTCACCCCAACCTGCCACATTCTCTCCTCTCCTTTCAAATATCAGTCACACAGCTTAATTGTGCTTGAGTCTGCTTTCTCCACCAGCCTGCTTCTCCGTCTGGCCCACTTCCCACAAGACATGTCCGTCTGTCTGTCTCCCCAGGCAGTCCTACTGTGAGAGGCCTGGAATGCCTCTCTTGTGGGTCTGTGAACAGAGCCCTCTGTGGAGTGGGGCGGGCGAGCTGGAGCAGGAGCAGGATCGTATGTGTGTCTCAGAGGGCAGCTAAGGAGATAGACTGGGCAGGGCCGTGCGGACGGAGAGGTCAGATCCCAGCAGTCCCAGGCCTCCGAGGTTTGCCCAGTTCCCGCCTTCACTCTGGTCCTCAGGAAGGGTCTCCATAGTCCGCCATCTTGCCTGTCACAGTGAGAACTCTAGGGTCCAGACTCACCACTCGGAGTGGGTTGAACAGTGGCCCCCAAAAGACATGGCCGGTAACCTGGAATGTTACCGTATTTGGAAATAGGGTCTTTGCTGATGTAATTAAGTGAAGGACTGTGGATGAGGACATGGGGGGGCCCTAACCCCAATGTCTGGTGTCCTTATAAGAGAAAGGAGAGGGCGGTTGATGTGCAGGGAGACGAGAGTGTGAGGACAGACGCAGGGACTGGGGTGTGGCTGCTCCAGGCCAAGGAATGCCGGATCCAAGAAGCTGGGAGAGACAAGGAAGGATTCTCCCTCAGAGCCTTTGGGGGTAGCTGCCACCTCGATTTTAACCCTCTAGCCCCCAGAGCTGTGAGGAAATAAACTTCTGTTGCTTTAACTCCCGCAGCTGTGGTCATTTGTTACAGCAGCCGAGGAAACTGACACTCCTTTGGGACTTGCTGCCGGACTGGGCAGGGGCCTGGGACATCCGGGCAGTCATTTCTTTGGAAACGAGTGTGTACGGGGAGGAGGGAAGTGCTGGGGACACACATTCCCGCTTTGTTTCTGGCCCTGCCGGGTGACAGGGCTGGGGTGAGTGTCGGTGAGGCATGTTGAAACTGTGGCTGATTTTTCCCGTCGATCGGAGTCACACAGAACAGCGCCCGGGCCCAGGGCAGGACCAGTCCGAGCCGGCGTGGCCGGTGCAGGTGGGCAGAGGTGTGGGGAGGGGAGCCTTACCCCGTACTTGGTGCCCAGGTTTAAGGAAATGCGTTTTGTCTTGTGGGCGAAGCAGAAGATGATCTCATCTTGGCTCTTGACCTGCACCTTGATGTACCGGTTGATGTCTAAGGAGATGGACTGGAAGGGGGGCGCATGCACGTGCAGGTCCAGGTTCCACCAGTTCCAGGCCTTCTGGTGCTTGTCTTTGGCAAAGTAGTAGCCCAGGTTCTGGCTTAGGCTCAACCTAGATTGAGAAGTCCCCTCAGGCAGCTGGCACTGGGCCGTGGGGCGAGGGGCGAGGCAGGCCTGCTCCCTCCCTCTCCCCCCCTTTCTTGCTTTAACCTTTGTCCATAGACAGCCCCCAGGCACCCGCAGGTCTTGGCAGGTGGGAGAAGTTCCAACCAGGAAGGCAAGCCCAAGCCGAGGTGCAGCCCTCCTGGGCCAGACTCTTGTCTTGTCTTGTGCCCGGGCCCCTCCCCCATGCTCGCCTCTGAGTGCCCGGGGCTGCCCAGTGTCTCCGTGCTCTTTCCCTCCTCAGGGCTTTGCCACGTTCTTTTCTCTGCCTGGAACCGACTTCCCACCCTGCGTGGCACAGATGGCTCCTGCTTAAGCATCATTTTCTCAGAGGCCCTTCCTGACCAGCCCCTCTGGTTCCCTATGTCACTCTCCATCTGCTACTAGGGCCAGTCGTGACTCCCAGTGCCTCAGTTTCAACTGCGGAAATACTTCACTGTGAGGATCAAGTGCCTGTACATAGCAATACCTTGGTCAACATTAGAGTATCCTTACAACCATCGGCGGAGAAAGGGGCACCCCGTGGGGAGCAGATCCTGCTGGCTCTGCCCTGGGATGGCTCCTATCCCAGTTCTCTCACTAGGCCTTCCCTGCCCTGGGGTCAGAGGTCTGTCCCTGCCCTGGGAACCCAGCTCTGGGCTGAGCCTTCCTCAGGGAAATGGGCTCTAGAACCCCCAGATATCTAATTCCTCCTCAGGGGTTGGAACGACCCCAAGCTGTGGAGTGTGTAGACCTACGCACCAGGGACCCTGAGTTCAGGCAGGTCGGGGGCCCTTGCTGCAAGGGACCCAGAAGCCTGGCAGGAGGTCTGGTCTGAGATTCCTCAAGTCCAGGGCCTGGAGGTTGGGCACAATGCTGGGGTTTAGTTTCCAAACACTCAGTTTACCTTTTCCGAGGAGACGGGATAAAAAAATGACCCAAGAAATAGTCCTTAAACAGCTTGGCTCTAAATCCTTTCCAGCACCTGGGGTGCAGCGGGGGAGCTGGGCACACCCTGAGGGGGAGGAGGTGGGCTGGGACCTGGGGAGCACTGTGGACACTTCTAGCAATGATTAGGCTGGAGGGGGGTGGGTGGAGTGGGGGGGCTGGCTGAGCAGCTTTGTATTCCCAAATGACTTGGCGTGTCTTTGCCACAAAACTGATCTCCCTGTGACGAAGGGACTGCCATGCTCACGATGAATTAATTCCCTCAGGGACCTTTCCTCACAGAACTGCATTTTCCTTTGGTACGGCTGCCCCTGGGAGGGAAGCAGCTTGGGAATGGGGAGCTCATTCTGCCCTGTGCAATGACATTTTGGGGGTGATGGGTGTGTGAAACTCAACCAAGTTTCTTGCCCCCACTACTTGGTGCTTCTTGTATCTAGTACCTTCTTCCACCTTTCAGATATCATTATTATACTAAGGGACCTTCAGGGAACAAAGTACACAGTCAGTATAAGAAAAACCCACACAGAGAAAATATTCTTAAAAACCAAGGCTTGGAATGTGAAAATCCTTGTGTCTTTTTTTTTGGGGGGGGGGTGTCAGTCAGTGGGAGGGGTTCAGAATTAATAAGAAAAAGTTTGGCTTTAACTATCAGTAACAAAGAAAGTGTAAGCCCTAGCCAGTTTAGTCTAGTGGATAGAGCATCAGGCTGTGGACTGAAGGGTCCTGAGTTCAATTCCAGTCAAGGGCACCTACCTTGGTTGCAGGTTCCTGGGCCCTGGTTGGGTGCATGCAGGAGGCAACCAATCAATATCTCTCACATTGATGTTTCTTTCTGTCTCTCCCTCTCCCTTCTGCTTTTTCTAAAAAAAGAGAGAGAGAGAGAGAGAGAGAGAGAGAGAGAGAGAGAGAGAGAGAGAGAGAAAAGAAAAAAATCTCCTCAGATGAGGATTAACAAAATAACAACAACAACAAAAAAGAAAGAAAGAAAGAAAAAAAGAAAGAAAGAAAAGATAGAAAGAAAAGATAGAAAGAAAATAAAACACTAATCCAAGATAATATGCACTTCCCTCTACCTGTCCACCTAGAACGCAGCAGGAACAGAAACCCTGAAAAGGTTCCTCAAAGAGATGGGCAAAAATCTTGAAGTGACTGAACTACCTTGAGTTGGTAAGGAGAAGTATTCCACCATTATCAGAAATGGTAACTTAGGAACTAAGTTCAGTTACCATGAAATATTTAGAATTATATTTTTGAATTAACACATGGGCTTCCAGAGTGCTCACCACACCCTCCTCTCTGAGGCCACCAGAATAGAGGGGTCCTGGGTCTTTCTAAGATCATTCTATGATGCTTGACTCTCAAGAGGTGTAAAGGAGATGAGACAATAGAAGTGGTTGCCCTGGGTCTGTGACTGCTATTTCACCCATGGGGAAAGCATTGTGGGGAGGACAGTCAGGGACCTGTATTACTTCGGGACTCATGACCTAAGCTTACCAGATCTCCCTGTTTTCATCATAGATGGTGACATGGCCGGAGTTGTTGATTAGGGCCCGAACCAACGCCTCCTCACTGTTGTCCAGGATGATATATGTGGCCTGATCCCGTTTCGTACGGAAGAAGAGCATAGCCAGTCGTCCTGATGGGTAACTGGAAGATGGTTAAGGCAGAAGCAGTCCCTTGGGATCCCCTTGCAGAGCCTGCAGAGTGTGCGGGCCTTAGTAAAACCATGTCCCGCCCCAACCCTACACTTTTTAGGTGCCATAGCTGTCAGTATAGGTGTCCTTGTGCTCCAGTGGATACTATATCTGGCCTGATTCATCAGAAAAGAGAATTCGGAAGACATTCTCATTGGGTCGGATAATTACATTTTTGTCATCTTGATCCATCTGGAAAGAAAAAACAAGCCTGTGACAGGTGTCCAGGGGTTGATTGTCCCAATTCAGAGTACAGGGTTGTCACTAGTGGACCTATCACTGCCAGCAACCTGCTAGGTTATCTGTACAGGAAACCTCTTGGGGCCTCAGATTACCTGTCCATGTGATGAGGAGGCTGAAATGGATCACTGTGTGTGTGTGTGCGTGTGTGTGTGTGTGTGTGTGTGTGTGTGTGTGTGTGTGTGTGTGTGTTGGGGGGGGGGTGTATACCCGCTCACGCAGATTTTAAACTATCATTTCAATCACTGTAGTAGTTACTGGTTGTTTGTTTCTTAGGGCTGCCATAACAAAGAACTACAATCAGGGCAGTTTGAATCTCCAGAAATATATTCTCTCACAGCTGTGGAGATGAGAAGCCTGAAACCAAGGTGGCAGCAGGGTGGCTTCCTCCTGGAGGCTCCGAGAGGAATTTATTCCATGCTTCTCTCCACGCTTCTGGTGATGGCTAGAGATCCCTTTTTTTCCTTGACTTGTACTGCAGCGCTCTAGTCTCTGCCTCCACATTCACGTGGCCTTCTCCCCCAGTGTCTTTGTGTCTCACGTGGCTGTTTTCCTGTAAGGATACCAGTCATATTGGAGTAGGGGCCCATCCTTCTCCTATATGACTTCATCTTAAATAATTACATCCTCAAAGACCAATTTTCCAAATAAGGCCACATTCTGAGGCACTGGGGGTTAGGACTTAAACATGTCTTTTTTGTGGGGGGGACTATTCAAGGTTTTATTTTTTTCTTGAATCTGAGTGAATTATATATGTTTTTGAAATTGTTCATTTTATGTACATTTTCATATGTACATAAATGTGTTATAATAACACATTTCAAATGTGTTATTATAAACATTTTTCATATACTGTTACACTGTTTTAAAAAACTTCTACTGCCTCTGTTATATCCTTGTCTCCATTCTTTATATTATTAATATCTTCTCTTTTTTTTTTTTCTTTTCTGAGTCAACCTTGACCTAACATTTGCCCATTTTACTAGTCTGTTCAGAGAACCAGCTTTTGGTTTGTGTATTTTATTATTTATTTGGTTTCTTTGGTATCACCTTCTGCTCTTATCATGACCACTTATATATATCTACTTCTGTGGGTTTTCTGTATTAGTTTATTTAATTTTTAAAAACTTAATAAATCTTTATTGTTCAGATTATTACAATTGTTCTTCCTTTCCCCTCCCCCAACAGCTCCCGTCCACCAGGTTTCTACCCCATCCTCTGCCCTTACCTCCTCCGCACTGTCCTCATCCATAGGTGTACGTTTTTTGTCCAGTCTCTTTCCAAACCCCCCACTCTCCTTTTCCCCTGAGAATTTGTCAGTCCTCTCCCTTTCTATGCCCTTGATTCTATTATATTCTCCAGTTAATACTGTTCATCAGATTTTTTATTCGCTTGGTTTTTAGATTCACTTGTTGATAATTACATATTTGTTGTTCATAATTTTTATCTTTACTTTATTCTTCTTCCTCTTTTTAAAGAATATTTTTCAGCATTTCATGTAATTCTGGTTTGGTGGTGATGAACTCCTTTAGCTTTTTCATATCTATGAAACTCTTTATCTGACATTCCATTCTGAATAATAGTTTTGCTGGGTAGAATATTCTTGGTTGTAGTTTCTTGCTATTCATCACTTTGAATATTTCTTGCCATTCCTGTCTGGCCTGCATAGTTTCTGTTAAGAAATCAGCTGACAATCATATGGGTGCTCCCTTGTAGGTTACTAATTGCTTTTCTCTTGCTGCTTTTAATATTCTATCTTTGTCTTTTGCTCTTGGCATTTTAATTATGATGTGTCTCAGTGTGGTCCTCTTTGGATTCTTTTTGTTTGGGGCTCTGTGCGCTTCCTGGACTTGTAAGTCTATTTCTTTCCCCAGGTGGGGGAAGTTTTCTGACACAACTGTGTTTTCCCGAAAATAAGACATCCTCCAAAAATAAGACCTACTTACAGGTTTCCTTCTGAATGAAATATAAGGCATCCCCCAGAAAATATGCCCCCGCTAGGCTAAACATGAGAGATTTGGTCCACTGATTCTGAAAGAAATGGAGTCACAAGAAATTCACCAGGAATTTCAGGAATTGGATTGTTATAATGATGTTCCAGAAGATGATGACATGATTGTCATTGAATAAATGAGTAAATTCTTGATACTGTAGGATTCACAGTTTGTCTGGTTTGTGTTGACAACTACCGTACTACCGTACTGTATACAGGTAATAAATTTCCTTTATTTTCATTTAACAATAAATGTGTATCATATTTTCTTCATGGAAAAATAAGACATCCCCTGAAAATAAGACCTAGCGCATCTTTGGGAGCAAAAATTAATATAAGACACTGTCTTATTTTCGGGGAAACAGGGTATTACTTTAAATGGTTTTTTAGCATCTTGCTATCTCTCTTCTTCTGGGACCACCATAATTCTGATGTTGGTACACTTGAAGTTTTCCCAGAGGCTGCTTACACTATCTTCACATTTTTGGATTCTTTTTTCTTTTTTCTTTTTTGTATTCTAAATTTTTGGCTAGATTCTTGTGATCCTCTAGTCTACTTTTAGGTATATGTATATATATATATATTTTAATTTCAGTCAGTGTATGCTTAATTTCTAGTTGATCCTTTTTCATATCCTCCAGGATCTCATTAAATTTATTGGCCTTTTCTAGGAAATTCTTTTTTAAAAAAATATATATATTTTATTGATTTTGTACAGAGAGGAAGGGAGAGAGATAGAGAGTTAGAAACATCAGCTGCCTCTTGCACACCCCCTACTGGGGATATGCCCACAACCAAGGTACATGCCCTTTACTGGAATCGAACCCGGGGCCCTTCAGTCCCCAAGCCGACACTCTATCCATTGAGTCAAACCAGTTTCAGCTCTAGAAAATTCTTGAAAAACCTTATAACTGTAGTTTTGAACTCTATATCCAGTCTTTTGCTTTCCTCCATTTCCTTCATTTGTGACTTGCCTCTTTGTATCCACATTTTAGCTGCTTCCATGAGTTGCTTTGTGTACTAGGTGTCCTAGCAGGGCCTAGTGGCTCAGCTTCCCCAGTTACCTGAGGTGGGCACACTTGGTGTGCCCCTTTGTGGACTGTTTGTGCAGTCTTGTATTTAAGCCTAGATTGTTGTTTGTATCACTTGGGGGAACTGACCTCCAGGCTAATTGGCTGTGAGGATCAGCTGTTCTCCGCTGGGAGAGCTTCTTTGCTTAGCTTGGATGGGGCGGAGTCTCAGGGTGGATCATACAGCCTTGGTTTCCCATCCGTCCTTCCCTAAGAGGCCCCTGTGTCTCAGTGTCCCGCAGCAATGGCTGCATGCACCTCTAAGAGAAGGCTGCTCTCAAGTTTTGCTTGCTGCCAGTCAGTCCAGTTTCTCCCCGAATGAGTCTGGGTATCCAAAGTCACCCAGAACTGGATTTCAGTGCAGTTGGGAGGTTTTGGTTCCTTCCTGAAAGAGAAAGCTAGCCGTGTGCTTGCTGCCTGCCCTCTCCATGTGCCATGAGAAAGCCAGCCACGTGTTCAGCCATCTGTCCTTTCCACAGGCATGGCTCTCTGCATCTTTGTCCCCCACAGCTTCTCTGAGTCTCAGTATCTTTTTCTCTTTTCCTCTAGTTGTAGAGTTTCCACTCAGGCAGCTTTCCAGTGGTTCTGGACGATGTCCACTCTGTCTTCCAGTTGCAGTTTTGAAATTGTTGTGCGAGGCAGCAGTATAGGTGTTTACCTATGCCTCCATCTTATATAGTTTCTCCTATTTAATTTTTCTAATCCTTTGAACTTAATGTTGAACTTATCGTTTTTCATTTATTCTTCTCTGTCTTCTTCTTCCTCTTCCCTTTTTAAATATAAACATGTAAAGCTATGTTTCTCTCAAAATACTGTTTTAGCTCTTTTACATGAGTATATTTACATCTCATTCCATTCTAAATATTTTCAAAATTACCAATATTATTTCTTCTTCAACACAAAAGTTATTTCCCAGTGGGTTGGCTCAGTGGTCTAGTGTTGCCCCATGAACCAAGAGGTTATTGCACAAGTTGCATGTTGTGGTCTTGATCGCAAGAAGGAGGCATCCAGGGGAGGCAATCGATCAATGTTTCTCTCTCATCAATGTTTCTCTCTCATCTCTCTCTCTCTATCCCTTCCTGCCTCTCTAAAATCAATAAAAACATAATTTAAAAATGTTATTTACAAGTGTGTTTTTAAATTTAAAACATACCAGTTGCTTTTAGTTATGTTATTATTATCACTAATTGAAATGCATTGGGGTAAGAGACATAGCCTATATATCAAGTGTTTAGTATTTGCTGGGGTTTGCTTTGTGGCTTAGTGTGTGATCAATCATTGTAGCTATTTCATGTCTGCTTGAAAAGGATGCGTGCCCTCCAATTGTTTTATGCTCTGGATTATCAGAACACATTGGTCACTTGATCTTCCCCCTCCCTTTTCCATTATACAACCCACCTCAACCACACTCATTCACATGCTCACTCTTCTGCTTTTTATGGGTTTTCTCTATTTCTGGTATTATTATTTTTTTCTATTTTTGGTATTATTTCTTACTCATGCTACTCTGTTTGAAGGAATGCTTTTTTAGATTTTCTCTAAATTTCCCAGGTGTTTGGAGCCAGCTTTTTATGTCTTCTAGCCTTCCAATTACTTTAACTAGAAGCCAAATCAGTGATCTTTAAGCTACTGTTTAAAAAAGTTGAAAAATCCTTTATTCAGGAAAGCTTGCAGCAGGATTACTGATAGTTCTAATAGGTTGTCCAGGGCCAGCCACAGACAAATGTCTGACATTGGCCTACATCAGAGTCCCTCTGAAGAGGCTCATAACCAGTATACCTAGTGGCCAGCTTCAGAGAACAACAGGGCAGGATCTAATAAGCTTCACAAGCAGCATATCCACAAAGAGCTCTCAGGAGGCACCAAAACCCACTGAGGCATATTCTGCT